TCACTCACCGGCTGATTTTTTCCAACGCGTGTTTCTTGTTTCCCATGTGGGGAAAGAGGTGCTGGAAATCACCCCGCAAAGGAATCGGGGAGGGTAGGGAGGGAATGGCATCCCCTGCCCCGGAGGGATGGAGCGGGGTCCAGGGCAGCCCCACGACCCCGCAGGGAGCCCGGCCCCGCACTGGGGTAGGGGGGAAAGACCGGGGAACATGTGGCAGCCCCTTCCCCAACCCAGCACCCCGGCGTGGGGATGCGATTACATCCCGGATGGTCGCCCTGTGCCCCTGTAATGGGGGAGAGACCTGGGAGCACTTGAACATCTCTGCGTTCAGGGCTTGTCTGTCATTTTCCTCGGTGCACAGATTTCCTGTTTTGAAAACTAAGCTGATAGCTTTGTTGGGGTTTTAAAGCCCATAGTAGAAACAAGGTTCTTCTAGTAACATTTAGTCTGCTATTAGTTTTTGAGGTTTGTTACTGATTTGGGAAAAGCAGTTGTAAATGCCCCCGGATGGATTCACTTTGCCCCCCTGTAACTTGGATCTGCAGCGTTTGGAGGAAACGGCAGGGACAAAATGGACAGTTAATAAAAGGAACAATTGTATACTGCCTATTCTAGAGGGCACTTGCTGCCCTTCAAGAACTTTCCTCATCACATATGCTCTTTATACAGCAAATCTTTATCTTCTGGCTCTTTTTTTTTTTCTTCTCTTTTTTTTCCACCTTTTTCCTTACCTTAGTCCAGAAAATGAAACTGGAACAGACATTTCTGGAAATGAACTTGATTGGTGCAGTTGAGAAGATGTAATTCACAGTTATAATGAACATTGAAATTTGTCCCATTTTTTTCGCAGTTCAGTGTTCAAATTGTATATTTCCTGATTTTTAACCTGTTTACACAATTATGCCTTATTTTTATTTTTTTTAACCCTCAAATAATAACATGTTGTGTTGGATTGCCAAGAGATACCCCAGGTACATCCAGTATATAGGAGCAGCTGTTAACACTAGTGTTATCTGATGCTTTACTCTATAAAGTAAAAGATTTAAACGAGCATTATTTCCTTCTTATAATCCCTTTCTATGCTTAGAAGAACCAAAGCTGTTGTCAGTGAAATCTGGAGTTCAGGGAGATGTAGTATTTCCAGAATTGGCCAAAAATAAATTATGGGGTAAAGAATGTTGCTTTTTTTTTTTTTTTTTTTTTTCTCTCCTAGTCATGCAGCACAGATGAAAAGCTCTGAAGCTTTTAGTCATAACACTCTAGTCCCATGTTTTCCTTTTAAAAAAGCATCCAGTGGGGAATGTGACATAATTGGTTTCTTGGATTTAGAGATCTTGAAATGGCTGGTACAACAGATAGAAGAGGAAACTCTCCAGCAGGGTTATGGTTTAAATACACTACTATGGCAGCAAAGTTATGTTGTTATTCCATGGTAATCTTGCATTTCTCTTGCAAGAAAATGCTTTCTACATGGTTATACTGCAGAACAGACACTTTTGAGTCTCATCGGTGGCACGGAATATTAAATCTCTTTCCTTTCCTTGCATTGCATAATCTGAGTGTTGTTCTCCCATAGCAGCAGAAATGATGGAAGAATTGCATAGCCTGGACCCACGAAGGCAGGAACTCCTGGAGGCCAGGTTCACCGGAGTCGGGGTTGCTAAGGTGAGTCCAGGTACCTTTGGTAACAGGCATGGCTGCTTATCCATCCCACGCTGCCCTTTTTTTAATTTCTACGTTAATAATTTTGCTTTGCTAGCAGAATGTTTTATATCAGTCGTTGTGTTTTGACCGCTAATTTGCTTGAAGTATGTTTTAAGAGGAATGAAAATGGGATCTCTTATGAGCAGATGTTTTGCTATACAGAAGATCTGGGTTCTAATTAAGTTCTTAAGAGTTGCTTAAGTCAGCTTGTACACCCCAAAAAACCCCATGACAACTTTGTCTTTGGAAGTGAGAATCTCATCTGTCTTTTCCTTTCTCCCAAGTGTGCATTTGAGAGCTGGATTTGGCCTCTTGTTAGATAGTTTCAAGTGTACCGTGTTTGATACAACATGTAACCAGACTTAATATATTCAGGATTTTGCTCAGTTCTTTGTGGGTGCAACATGCTAAAATTGTGTACTTGGTCATGTAGAACACACACGCAAAAAGTATTTGAAGGTAAGCTCTCCTGTATCTGTGATCCACAACCTGCTAGTAAAATCCCATCTTTGTCCTCACGTACAACTTCATAACTGTTCAGTAGCTGCCTTTCTTGAGTAAGGCACTAAAATAATAACATTGTGTGGTTTCTTGATGTGCTAGCATTAAGCTAGATGTCCAGATGTCGTTGGTAGTGTTAATTGATAGTCTCTCTGAGCAGTAAAACAGTGGCAGAACTCATCTTAAACTAGGTAGGTGACAAGGAGTTTACTTTTGAGGAAGATACTGAGTTTTGGACAACATCAAGGTAGATGATAAAACAACATGTCATTGCTAGATAATTTTCAGAAACCTCTTAGGGAAGAAACTTTTTAGATGCTGTATTTCTTAGGAAAATTCAAAGCCAGTCAGAACTTGACAAGGGGTTTTGTTTGAATTCATACTTTTCTTTCTGATCCATACTTCAGTCAGGACTCAGACAAGGTCAAGTCTTGGAAGGGAGTGCGAGTAAGTAAAATATTCAGCTGTCCAGTGGTGTGTAGTAAGGGAGATTAACACTAGAAGTTGTTAAGGGGTAACAATTTCCGTTGCTGAAGTAAGCATGTGGGGGTTTTTTTGATCTTTTTCCCCCGCTCTTAAGACTTTTTTTTTAATCTTAAGGCTTTTACTGTCATAAAACTACACGCTACATAACGTATTTACAGTCTTGGAAGACTTGTTTTATACAACATTACAACTTTTTATGTACTTTTTTTTGTCTGTTTCTTACCTCTTCCCACCATTTGTGTCACTTCAACATCTTCAGCTGTACCAGTAGAGATAAAGCCAAACAACTTTCTAGAATAGCTAAGACTTAGAAGCACAGACACTATCATTACTTTAAAACAGTGCCAACATACTCCATGTTCACAAAGAATGTTAGGAGCTATTCCTTTTAAAGGAATAACCTTTAAAAGATACCGGAAAGCAAGTCTTAATTATGTTTTCAATGTGTTTGCAGCAGAAAGTACATGCCCTTTCTCTGTAGGGTGAATACTGAAAACTCATTTTTGTTTCTAAAGCATATCCGAGTAAAAAAAGCCTCATTTCTTGGAGGCTTCACTTTGAGCAAAGCTCTTCTGTTCCTGAATTGTATTTTTTACCTGTTGTGATGCGGTATAATGTTTTACTTTGTAATAGTCAGTAAACTGTTAAAGTGCATTACACTTATTTCAAACAATATATATTGATATACTTGCTAATTTGCAATAGATCAACCAACCATTGATATGAATTAGCATGACTCTACTATGTTGCAGCAAATCTTGGTTGCAATATTAATCTCAGATACTACATTCCCTCCCAGGTTGGTGCTTCAAATTCCCTCCCTACCCCCCCAAGTCTCCGTCCGTCATGCTCCGCACTGGCATTGGTAGGTCTTTGTCTTAAAGGGAATATATTGGGAAAGCTGTGATACAATTTGTATGATTCAACTTAAGATTTTTAGCTCTCTCCAATTAAATGTTGAAGGAAGGCTACGTAGGGTAAGTTAGTGCCATCTAGTGGGACTGGGACCAGCACATCCTCCTGGGATAGAAGGTATTTTGTTGCTGTTTATTGCATAAAAGGAAGAAATGTCATCTTAGGTGCTCTCCTATTGGGTGAAGGCAGCAGGCAGTTGTAACTGAGCATCCTGCCTGTATCACTTAGTGTGTTTGGTTAGGTTTCTTTAACGTTTAAAAATATAGCGTATATTTTGGACCTGTGTAAAACTAACCTACTAGTTTACATCCTTAATACAGCTGCAGCTTTAAAGCCCACTTTCCCTTCATGTTTACAGCTAAAGAACTACTATACGTATTTGAGAGAATGAATTAAGACCACGCTGATGTAGAATAAATTTTTAGACTTGAAACTAGGAAAAAAACTTCTAGCCATCAGAGTCACAGTATTCTGGAAGAGCTTTCCAGTAACAGTAGTAGAGGACAGAAATCCTAAACTGTTTTGGAAACAGCTGTGTGCTGTCACCTCCTGCAGTAGCTGAAGGCACAACCCAATGACTGAGGTCATTTGCAGTCCCAAACGCCTCAAAATTGTGTTGCAAGTCTGTTGATGAATTATCTCACCTGGCAGCTGGGGAATATATTTCTATAGAAGCTTGGAGTTAATACATGGAATCAAATCTATGAGCAAGGAATGTTTCTAGGCAACTGTTATACTCATGTGGTTCATCCAGGTCACTAGATAGCTTCAAAAAGCCAGCGATGCTTTAGATGTCTATTCTTGACATATGGTAAAGTGCCATTCTTCCCCAAATTCGCAAAGCAAGTCCTTGAATTAACACATGACTATCTGACACCTACCAGTATTCCTGCTTATTTAGCTCCTGTGTGTGTTTACTTACTAGGGCAAATGTAAGCATATTCACTTGGGGCATTATTCTGACTAGTCATCTCAGACATCTTCCTTGGGTCAGTAGGTACAGAAAACAAAATGTCGTTTGTTTCTCTAGATAACATTGTTTAATTTGGTTTGTTCTCATCTTCTGCCTCCCTTCCCCTTGTCTGGGTACTGGCTTTAAGATACGAGGCAGGTTAATTCCAAAGGATTTGTGTCATTTCCACAGACTTTTACTGAATAAGAACTGGAGTAGGTAATTGTGGTGGTTGAATCTGTGTTTGCACGTGGCTTGCCTCAGGCTTAACCAGGCTGGATTATCACAGCAGCACACGTATCTCCTGCAAGTTTGATCTTTAAAAGATTTTCAGATCTTTAAAAGATTTGCAGACTAATTTGTGTGAGCCACTTATTATAGCTAAACTAAAAAGGCTGAAGTATTTCTAGAGAGAGCAGCCTTCTCTGTTGTGCTGTAGGAATCTTGTAGATCCAGATGACTGTACTAGAATTGAAGAAGTGTTGGTCTTGGTGGTAGCTAGTGCTCCCTCTCCTCCCTCTTTGAGGTGACATAAAGAGGGAAATGAAAATAACCTGAGGAGTGTCATTTAGGCTGCAGAACATCTGCCTCAGAAGAGTGTTGCTCAGAAAAAAACAACAGCATTTACTTGTATTATTTTGGTTTTTACTTTTTCTCTGTCACTTTAGCAGTCTTGATCAGTTCAGTAGCTACCAGTTGTGTGGTCTACTTAGCAGCATTTTTAGCAGCAAAGTTTCCAAGTTGAGAATTCAGGTTTGAGAATAATCATGTCTTCCTTGGAGGGAAGTGCTGCTGCATAGTAATATTCCTTCACAGGTGTCACATGCCACCAGAAGAACTAGTTAGTAAGAGTTTTGAAACTTAGAATTTCATTTATCAGCCACCAAAGAACGTGCCAGGACTTTATGCCAGATACTTGAACATTGTTTGGATGCTTCTGTGTATAACATTACTTATTTCAAATGTGTTGTCTGGCTACTGGAGTGCAGGGGTGTCAGATCTCAGTTCTGATTCTGCCCCTGAACTGAGGATTAGGGTGAATTGTGTGATCCTTCTGTGCAGTTTGATGTCAGTAAAATAAAAATACTATTTTTTTTTAACCTGAGAGCACTCTTGAGGCATAATGGAAGCCAAGTAAATCCTGTTGCAAATCTGCTTACCCATCTGATATAGTGGAGGTTACTTGTGAACATCTGATAGTAGATTAACTTCTCATGGCAAAAAGACCCAGGTGATTCAGGGATTTCATTATTGGCTATAATACCAAGCTTTTCTAAAAGCCTGATTAAGAAGCTGGCTGTAATTCTCATACTTATGTGATGGTTGAAATAAGATGAGAATATGTTAATTAAACCTGTCTTATACAGTAGCACTGGACCAGAGTAGCTGGAAAACCGTTCAACCATTTCACTTTGGTGTAAGCCTGTGTGGAGTCAGCACTAACTTCTAGTGGAGCTGAGGATTGACTTTTTCCCTTTGAAATCTCTTGATTTGCTACAGAATTCAGAAGAACTCGAGTTACCTCCACTTGAGGTAATGAAGCATGTCTCTGCCTTTGAGTTAGCAAGAGAATTTAGCAATGCGTGTTGCTGTAAGTCCACGTTGGAGACTCTTGCTCAGCAGCTTGAATCTGTAGAGCTCTCTTCCAATACGAGGAGTTGGAGAACACAAAATGGAGACTGCCCAACGTAAGAGTTGTGGACAGGCCTGAAGGATCGTTTCTGGGAGCTTGGAGAGGCTGAGGAAGCCATTCGAGGCAGTAGGTAGGCTTGGAGAGGAGATAGGTAAGGGTGGTCTGAGTCAGACTAGCTTTGTTATAGAAGATCCGATGGGAGTTATTATCAGCCTAAGTTGTTTCTATTGAAATTTCAGCCATTGTGCCTCATTTGTGGCCTTTCCAGGGCTCTTGCAAAGGGACAAATGACTAACCAGCTTGTTTGAGTGGACAGATTTTAAATTGTTGCCTTTGAGTCGGAGTCTTGAGAACGCCTGCTACTGTTGCATCCACTTCTCAACATGAAGGTTTTGTTGTGCATAGGTAGGTCACGGACTTAGAAGCAGCAGTTGATAGGTGAATCACAAGGGAAAAGAGCATGCCAGCTTATCTCGGGAAGAAATTCTTTGCGGAGGAGGAAGTGTGTGCTGTTCTTGTGCTTGTCATTTGGGTAAACACTATAGAAACTATTAGCTTATTTCAGATGACCTACGTATTTTGAATTTTTGCTGAGCCCCATCACCAATTCTCTTGACAGGGTACAGTGGCTGAGTGGGCTGTAAGTGATATCAGAGAAGTGCAGAATTATCCCAAAGTAGTCTGTGCTAGAAAAGCCAGATGCCAGTGCAGATGACTTCTTCAGGAACAGAATTTATAAGCCCTTCCTGTGTAAACTATTGCATGTTTATTATTCCTTACTGCTACTCCCCCAGCAATATTCTGATGTTAGTATTCTTTGCCATTACTTGGGTTTGGGTTTTTTTCCTCCAAAATTCAGGTTTGTACCTTTAATTCCTTTTGTGTCATGACCACTTATAATGGTATGCTAAATTAAGTACTGAACATTCATCCAATGTCAGTTGCTGAGTTAAATATAAACAGCCAGGAATGATAAAACATAAATTTGACGGGTTTTTTTATACACACACTCAGTGACTGTTAGTTGAGGGGGAGATGCTCAGATGTATGGTTTCTTATACCCATTGTCTAAACCTGTTGCTATAAGCAGTTGATAATAAGAGGTTATGTGTGAATCCAGATATCGAGTTGGGTGATCAGGAAAACTTGCTTTTTCTTTCTCTTGTGTAACTGTTTGAGAAGAGGTGCAACTGAGGACTAGGGCATGTTCCTTAAACATCCTAGGTATTGCATCTTTATTGCTCTGGGTACAGCACGTTCTGATGAACAATTTGTGTTTCCATAGTCAGAATACCTCAAAACAAGACTTTTTTGCCAACTTTGACATGAATAAGGTGCTTCAGCTCCTTGCCTGTAAGATAGGCCCTAATTCTTTACTGTAAGAGAAGTCTAAGTGGAAGGTCCTCTAGAAGATCATCAGGGGAGATGAAAGCCCATGCAATTTGCCTACAAAGAATTAATTCTGCGTTTGTTCACAAAATCAATACACGTGACAGTGAACTGGATGGATACTTAGAGACATCTGACAAGCTGTTCTTTTCTGGTTCCATAACTAAGTAGTTAGTTCCTTTTTCTACTACTGCATTGAGTCCAATTTTATGATTTTTGTCTGTGTAGTTTCTAGAGGAAGTTTTAAAATGAAGGGAAAATAGGGTTTTTTTTTGCTCTTCAAGAACCTGTGATCAGCACTGAACTGCTCTTTTGTTGATGCAAAAAATGGGTTTGATTCCAATTGCTGGAGCTGTAGATTTCCCACATGGAATAGTTGGTACAGGTAGTTGTGGTACTAGAAGGAAGAAAAACGTTGTGGATTTTGTATTGGATGTCTTTCCAGCTGCTTATATTCCAGAACTTTACATTCTGATGCAAACCAAATAGATTTTTTTTTTTTGTACTGGAGAGGATAAACTTGTATTTCTGAAAAAATCTTAGCATCATTTCTGACTACAGATGGTCTCATCAGTTTATTTCTCCAGGTTACCCTGGAATACAGGTCACTGCTTAAAGATCAGCCCTTTGTAAGTGACTGATGTACCCTTTCAACCACAGTGTTCCTGAAAAGCTCAAATGTGGAATTTTGAGAGCAGCTGTTCCTGTCACTTGCTATCCATGTGCAAAATGGAGGCAGGGAGATTTAAGCAAATGTGGAAACGACTTTGACTTTCATCTTCATCATGTCAGAACCTCAACCTATCCATCTGAGACCAGCAAATGCTAATTTGTTGAGATGCTCCTGCACTTAATAAAGCTTTCACACTTGCACAGACGGTTGATGTCCTGAACATGTTGCTGGGGTTTGAGTTCATGAGAGGAAGTGAAGGATTTTAGAGGAGAGCATTTGTGCAGTTTATAAACAAGCTTTTTACACGGGTGAAAAGATTAACTTTCTGTTGCTGTTTGCTGGAAGATATCGCATATTTTTAATCAATGGGGCCTTCATGTGGATGTAGCTAAGGTTGGCATTGGCACTTCTGTTATGTCCTGTTGGCCAAGGAATAAATCCCTCTCATAACCAACAGTTATACCTGTAAGATTTGGAAGCCATCACATTGGGTGGTGGGGAGCTTACTTCTTTAAAAAAAAACAACTACATTTTAAGCTTTTGTATTGCTGAAGACATGAGGTAAAATATCTTTCTGGTCTTGAGCTATTTGTGTGATGAGTTCAAGGGGTAATGGCCTGACTTAAAGAATATCATCTACAATTTTTCTTAATTTGCTTTTTTAAAAGGGAATCCTAAATGTGCAGCTTCTTGAGCTGTTCAAGTGTTGTTATTTTTTTCTTGTTGAAGCAACTAACCATGTCCTTTTAGGAGAAACAAAATTGGCAGTTAAGATTCACAGTGTAATACAGAAGGGAAACACAACTTTTACTTTCTGTGGATACCTGCTTGGAAATTGGGGTTGGTAATAGCTAGGCTGTGTCACAAGTTTAATTTGATGGTAGTGGTTGTCTTAATAAATGGGGAAGGAAGAACTCCTACCCTCAAAAATAATCTACTGTGGGATTTCTCTGTGGTGTTAAGGCTTCTCCCCAACCCCTCCCAAAAGGCATCTGGTCAAGTATATGATGAGAAGTGGCTTTGCCTTGAGGAAAGATTGATTGGTGGGAAGTGATTACTACAAAAATAAGATTGCTAAAATAGAATGAATCTTTAGGAAAAGATGCTCACAAGTTATTAATGGAGAGGTGGCTTTATCATGTCATTCTTCCTGTTAATACATTCCATCAGTAATTATGAATCTTGTTTTTTCTTTCTTTGTCAAACTTGTCTAGATTTCTTAAGTTAGATCTGTGGGAGGATACTTTCGTGTCAGAGCACCAGGCTAAAACACAGTGACTTTGCATAATTCACTTTTCTTTCCCTTTAAAACCAGCTTTTGATATAGATTTTCAAAAATAATTTTCAAAAATACTTGAATATGTAAAAATGCAGATGTGTATCCAGTAGAGCCTGCAAAGATGCATGCACACTCTTGTAGGTACCTGGATACTATTTCAGTAAATTTATTCCAGCCTCTTGAATTTGTGCTTTAGCCTGGTAGGAGCAACTGCTCCGTTGGCAGGTGAGCCATGGGTCCATAAAATAGCCTAGTGGGGAGGATTGTCTGGTGGGTGCCAGTTGTACTGCTGTTAACACAACTTCTACTTGTTTGATTTCTTAGTGTTGAAAAAAAAGCATAAAAATTATGCATTTTAAGAAAAATTAGTGGTACTGCCAGCATCTGATAACAGAAATAGCTGCCTTGCCAGATGGAAGATGCCTCTGAATTCTTAGCCCAGGGTCAAGCAGATGCCTGCCTGAAGAGCCGAGCTTGGAACTATTGCTGCTCAACAAATCAGAAGTTTTCTTTCTCAAACCAGTTGTCTTAGACTTTTATGAATACTGCCTTGGCTGTTTTGTGGATGTGGTTAAATAGAGCAGTTAGGATATAAATTGGTACAGAAACATCATTGCAAAGGCTGGATCAGTATATGAGTAAAGACCGTCCAGCTTCTGTCTTGCTCCAAGCCACCTCTGAAGTTTTTTAGTGCCCCATCACGTGCCTGGGTATTTGACCTGTGTTGCTGCTGTATCCATGTGACTTAGAGCAGCGTAGTTAGCCCAGAGATGCAATATTTGATAGGACATATCTGCCTTGTATGGAAGTTGTTTCTAACAGTCTTTGCTTGTTTTTCACTAGGGTCCATTAAATAGTGAGTCTTCCAACCAGAGCTTGTGCAGCGTGGGTTCTCTGAGTGATAAAGAATTGGAGGTAAGCAGGCACAAATCCTTGTGGTAATTGGGTTTAAGGTGGATGTGATTGAACTCGAAACATAGAAGGAATTGTGTGAGATTGAGTGACAGTGTTCTTCTTTGGGGTGTGAAAGGGACTAGTGGAAGTGTTTGGTCTGGATCTTAACTCTACAGTCTTTGGACCACGAAACAGTCCTCCTTGAAGCTTCCAACTGTGGCAGGCAAATTTTACCCATCCCCAAAAACACAGCGTTCATAAAGCTCAGCTTATGAAATTGTTTTCAACTGCATTGTGATTTGTTTGCCGGTTTTGGATACAGTTTGGGCCAAATAAAAAGCCAGAGAGCATTAATGGAGGAGTTTGCCTTACCTATCACATATGTGAATTTGTGGAAGTCTGTACAAAGCGGAGTGTTTTTATGAATCGCTTGGTGGAAGTGTGGGGAGGTGAAAATTGATGCTTTGTCCCTGTTTAATCTCAGTGCTTTAGGATTAACTATTTCAAAACAGTTGCTAAAGCAGCAAAATGAATTGTAGAGTTACATTTTCACTTTAAAATTCCATGTTAATAAACCAAAATCTCAAATGTAAATACATTTTCTTATGCATTTAAAGAACTTCCCACATGGTTATCAGGTAAGTTTTGGATCATATTTCCTTCTGTTATATGGCAGTACTGATATGAGATGTCTGGTGAAGCTGAGTCTTTTGAGAAGGTAGTATCTTAAATTCTATACAAGTAAGCGTAGTTAATAGTCTAAAACTGAGTATTCATTCTTATTTTACTTGTCTCTTTTTTTAATGGACTTCTGTGGAGTCATTTAAATTGACCAAGCTGACGTAATCAAATCTACCATCACTTGCTGTTTCACTCTGTAACAGATAATGTGTGTAATTTTTATGTAAGTGCTTGAATGGAAAAACAACTTAAACTCAATCTCATTAATATGCTTACAGTTCCACGGAGGCTGTAATGGAGCCTCTGGTGTTACAGTCACGCCAACGCTGTTCATGAGTTGCTCTTCACTGCGCAGTGAGGAGGCTGTGTCAGTGACTTTTACACATACAGGAGCTGGTAAAGCAAGTCTCTAGATAGCTATGGAGTTTTCAGTCCCCTCATTCTAAAAAGTACTTTGCAAACACAATAGCCACCTTTGTCTTAATATCCCCTCCATCCTCTTACCAAAACAATAACATGTCGGTGACTGCCCAGCGGGTAACATGGGACTGTAGATGTCCAGCATCCACTGGGGACACAGCCAGTTTTAGATTCTGGCTGTGTCAGCTTTATCCTTTTTTATCCTATTAAAGGAGGTAGATTGATTTCTGTGCTTACTGTGTGCAAGTCTTTTGGCAGAGATCTTTAAACAGGGTACTTTGGACTTTGGTTTCCAAAGAGCATGAAACTTAGGTTTACCACAAACTTTCTGGCCATGGCTTTTCCCTCCCCCAGAGTTGTGTTTTGCACACTGTGGTTTTCTTCCTGCCCCAAGGCTACAGTTTAGTGGTGGCTGCAGTGATCATTAAGCATATAGCTTGGAAATTATTTGAGACCCTTTGGGATAAGAGATGTTTTTAAAATGACATTGGTGATGGAAATGACAAGGTATCTTTCTTTCCAGCAACCTCAGGAAGCTGCTTCTAATGCTATGCTTCCTAATGTTTTCTGCAGGTTTGGCCACAGAAGTGACCCTGGTGACAGGGAAAGCACCATGCCAGGGTCTCCTCCACTCTCAGGTCTAGGCTTGCTAACCTTGTACAGACAGATAGGTCTGACACTGCTGGAGCCTTCCAGCCTCCCACCTATGCTCTGCATTGTGCCTGTGCATAAATACATCACTGTCCACTGATAAGCTACCCCTTAGGTCTCTGGTTGTTCACAGAAATGGCAGATGTAACTGTCTCTTGACTATGAGAGCAGATGAGGAGCAAACGGAAGTCCAGAAGAACTGGTGCTTCTGTGGCAGTTTTCTCCTGCCTGCCATCATGAGCAGCTCTGCGTTGTTTTGTTTGAGGTTGCAGTTGTGCACCAGTAGACATGATAGTTCTTGTAGCCATCTACAAAGGGCTTTGGGAAGAAGCATTAGCTGCAGGCAAGATGAATTGTCCTGGTACGACTGTGATTAGCCACTGGACTGCAAATGTGGATGTTTGTACTAAAACCTCTCATCATTACTCTTCTTGTACCAGTACTATTATCACCCTGAAACGGTTTACACGGGTTTTTATAAGTGTTTGAACTTGTTCTGCTGACCATGTGAGGTAACTGGGTAGTAGAGGCTTAGCTTGCTGCAGTTGAAATAGAGAAAAACAAAAATTAACCTTGTTGCTAACCATGTTCTCTCTTCTCTGCAGCACATATATCAGAAGGTAGTAGCTATTTCAGAGCAGTTGTTTCTTTAAGTACCAGCAGTAGAAACATATGCACCAGAGAAACGAAATGGCCACTGGGGATATGGAGCAGATTATTGTGTTTTGGCATTTTCTTTAAATCTTGGAATAACTGCAGAAATGTTAATTTTGAAGTATTGTTTAACAGACTCCTGAGAAAAAACAGAATGACCAGCGGAATAGAAAGAGGAAAGCAGAAGCATATGAGACCAGTCAAGGTAATTCATTCTCCTGACCCTGCTGCAGGATTTCTGAACGGTTGGTAATTTGTGCACGTTTTGCACAGTCAGTGTCCTAGGAAACTAATGGCTCTTCTCAAGGGTGTGTCAGACAGCTTGTTATAAACTACTCCATGATGGTGTAGTTCTCTTCTGGGAGCCTTGTTAACCTCATTGGCAGGAAAATACTCATCTTCAGCTTATTCGCACAAACCATTGCATTTTTATGGGACAGACTGCCCAGAGGCTTAATATGGCTTCTCTGAAGTGTTGTTTTGGTCCTGCGTCACTACATATACAGCAGCCAGACTTCAGAATACAGGCTGTACTCTCTTCCTTGCTTTTTGAGACGTATGCCTGCCTTGTTAAGAGTAAGTTCTCAGCATAACAAATAGAGAACAAACTGTGCTCAAGTATAAAGCAGGCAGTACTGTCTCGGAGTACGAAGAAAAACCCAGCGTGTTCAAGTCCAAGTTCAGATTTTCTAGCAAATGGGCATAGGGGCAGATACCTATTTCTTTTATTCTTTGACAAGAAAGTAATGAGGATTGTGTTGACAGAACTGCTTTGATAATAGCATAATAAGAGAAAAGGGCTAAGTTTTAATGAGCTGGTATTAAGCCACCACTAATTAACTCTAACTCTTATAGGAATGCTTGTAAGAGATCTAAAACGCAGTAATTTACCTGAAGGTGGAGGAGTAAAAGTACCCTTTGCTCTGTCCTTATCCTGAAGGAAATTTTGGAGAATCTATGCAACATTCAGTGACTTAGTGTTTTCTAAGCATTTTAGCAAGTGCAAATGCTGTTTGATTGGATTTGACATGTTTGGAATTGAGAGTTAATTGAATTGTCAACTGTAAACCCTCCCAACAACAGCACAAGAGTTGTAACCCTGGGGCAGTGTTTTGTTGTGCAGAAGCTTTTGTGTCGATAGGTGTTGCACCTTTCTACAGGGAGAGTAGTGTCAAAATAGAGGAGTAGTTTTTCAGAATGACATTGTAACTTCTGTACTTAAAAATATCAACTCTTATTTTCATCCTTTGTTTTCCTTTTTAGGAAAAGGCACTCCTAGAGGACATAAAATTAGTGATTATTTTGAGGTAAGCATCTTTCCATTGTTTAAGAAATCTGCTTGAATACACATTACACAAAATCTGTAGATGGAAGTCTGTGATGTGATTTCTGTTACTTAATCCATCATGGTAAATAATAGCTTGGAGTGATTGACAGTGTTAACCTGATATGCTCAAATCTGATTAGGTAGAGGATATGAGATTTTTGGAAGTTGTTTTTTAAATTAACATTTCTTTGAACAGTTGAGAAAGCTTTTTTTTTTTTTTTTTTAAAAGAGCAGCCACCTAAGTGTATGTTGGAGGTTGATTTCCTTTGGAACCTGGATCTCAGATGAGGATATCTCTTAGTGCACAAACCTATTTTGATGTAGCTGCAAAAGAATGTATCTTCAAAGTCCTGCTGATTTGCGTAGGAAGTTGTTTACAAGGTTCCCTCTTTCAAAAGCTTACCATGGGAGACTGGCACCACACAGGAGATGGAGACCCCTCCTCAAAACAGTGATGGACATTCTAAAAATCCATTTTATTTTCTTGCGTAGTCTCTGAAGTTTTTCTAGGTCTGCACAATCCAGAGCTCTAGCTTTTCTCTGAAGTTTGTTCTTTATTTTACTGAGTAACTTGGAGTCAGAAATTAAGTGATTATTAGCGCTTTTTTCTTGGCTAAAGTTTTTTTTTAATAAGTGAGGTACCCTGTATGGTGCAGGAACATACACATTTCTGTACCAACTAGACCAGTTGCCCAGCTGTTTACCTGTCCTGTCTTTAACAGTGACTGGCACAGAAGCTTCAGTGAAGATGAACATTTCTTACTACTTCTGTGGTGCACAGTTAGACATATCTCCTCATAGGGAATAGTCTTCCTAGTTCTATCCAGTAAATGATCTATATCCAAGTGTGCAGGTTTGTATCTTTTTTGTGGTAAAATGAAAAATGCACTCAGTGTACAGGTGAATGTCTGAAGTACTTACTTTTGCTGTTGTTTTTGAAAACAGTGCATGAAATTTTAAGGTTTTCCCATTAGCTCATCTTCAGTTTGTTTAAATGATTCCCTAAAGCCTATAAGACTTCATTTTTAAGATTAATGTGTTTATTTGTCTTTTTAAAATTTGCTTAAATATAATATCTCTGTGAAATTACTGATGATCTGATCTTTTCCTTTGGCCAGTTTGCTGGGGGAAGTGGCCCAGGAACCAGTCCCGGTAGAAGTGTGCCGCCTGTTGCCAGATCATCACCGCAGCATTCCTTATCCAACCCCTTGCCGGTAAGTGTTCCCTCTGGGGACAGAGCTGGTGGCATGGCATTGATTCAGTTGGTAACTGTGCTTCAGACAGGTAATAAAAGGTTCTGAGCAGGAAGGAAGGTCTCTTTGTGAGTGATTTGGCTTATTCTCTATTCAGTTCATTCTTTTTTAAATCTGAAACTGGGTTCTGGCAGCAAAGCCGGGTGTCTGGGACCGTGTAACAGTGGCTAGTCCAGTTGTAACTGATAGGAATATCTGAGCTTAAAGCATGGGAGATCAATGTTTTTAGCATGCTGTATGTTTTTAGCATGCTGTGTGTTTACAGACAGATTGTTGTCCTTAATAAAAGGTGGAACTGACATCTTTTATCTTGTATTCCATTCTAGCTCATTAACTTCTCCATCAAGTTAGAATTATGTTGTATGTTTGTATATCAGTAGTACCATGACATTCTGATCATGATTGGACCCTTTGGGTATACTGCAAAGCATACATACCATAATTGTATTGGGAAGGTCTTTTACTTCTGTTTACAAGCATGTAACTTGTAGGGAGCATTAGCAAAAGCTTAAAAAGAAATGCGTATACGTGCACATCTGTTGCTATTTTTGTGTTACATAATTCCATTTTGCTGTCACAGCATTTCTGCCAGATCTGAGTGTGAAGAAATAACCGGTATTTTTAAGTCATTTTAGTAGAGAACAGCTAAGAAATTTCTTTCAACTAGCAAAGCAATATTCTGAGGCTCTGGTGTCTGATCTCTAGTTTTGAATATTGCCTGGGCCCCTCTTTAAAAATTTTTGGCATTTATTGACTGGCACAAAAGTATGGAGCATTATGGGAGAGGTTAGTATTCCGAAAACCAAATGCAAAGTCTTTACTGATTACATTATTCTGCAGAGACCTTTGCACAGTTCATGAATGTGTACTGAAGTAAATCCCAGCACTGAACGCTCTGCTCAGAATTCAATATATGTTGCTAGACTTTCAAAGCTTTTAATGCTGCTTCAAGGGAGAATGTCAGATATGCTTCTAGATATTTTTGATGTTTACAGAAGTTAAAATATATCTGGTTAATTGAAGAGCCCTTCCTCCTGGCATATTAATTCATTAATACACCTCTTAAAAGAGAAGTTAATGAAAGAAATACCATCTCTGAATGCTGCAGATGTATTAGGGACAGTTCTTTATTCCAGCAAATGAGATACCCTACACTTGTTTATAATGGGACAAGTTGATTCTTCCTTTAGCTTTCTTCTTCTACAATTACATGTATTGAGTAGGTAAAAGTTTGAACAGGGTATTTCTCAGGTGGTGAAGCCTGATGTTAGTTTCAGCTAGGCCAGTTTGTCTCTCTCCGTAGGCACGTGCTCTTTGTGTTTCTTCTGTTCTTTACTCTTGCAGTTAAACCTGTAATGTTTGCTTATTCATAACAAACTATTATCCACATTTGCAAGATCTGTCCTCTTACAAACTGAATATCAATGGTTTGAGCTAAGCCCCAAAAAGTTGGGGGATCAGTGAAAACTGGAGAAGATTAGGTATCTTACACATTACAGAAGTCAGTGTAGTCTAGGAAGAGAGCAGAGTGTTGAAATGTCTTTCACAATGAGACAAACCTCCTCCAAATCTGTGAGTTAATCTATACTGTACTGGAAATTTTCTGCAATCAGAACTTGTGGAGGAATTGTAATGGCTTCAGGATCTTATTACTTCTTGTCTTCAAATCTCTTGACTGCTTTGAATTGCCTTGCTTCTCGTTTGATCAGAAGAATGATCTGCAGGTTTTCAGACTCTTGCAAGGTCGTTCTCATATACAAGCATTCTTTTGGGGAAGAAAGCACACTCTTGACATTTGTAATGGTAGCCAGAAAATATGCTTCAGGTTGCAGTTTAGGTTTTCAAGAAAAACTGAAGCCTGACCTGACTGTTTACTTGCTGTGTGGCGTATGCCTGGCCCAGAGTTACAGCTTGGAAAGACTTAGATGATTATTACCCAGACTGCCAAGTTTTAGCAGTGATGGGCTGGCTTTTAAAGTGAGGGCAATGAGATTCTGAGTGCTGTAATCAATGTAGCTCAGATGATTCTTGTTCTTATTGAACCCAATTCCTGTACTGCAGTTGGAAAATGAGTCTACTGTAGGAGAAAGGAGCTGGCCTTTAAGAGATGCAATGCATCTCTGAAAGATTTTGGAAACGCATTAGTACTTTGCTTATCTCTCAAGGAGGTTGGTCTCAGCTGTAATGACAGAAATGAGGTTACTGTGATGTCTGGGTCCTAGAGATGGTTAGAGTGCTGATGTTTAGCAGTTCTGACTCAGTTTACTTCACCCAAATAATGAATGTATTATGACATTGGCTGTTTTAAAATGAGTCTTTAAAAAACGTCAAGTAGCATAAATCTAAATGCATTGAACAAAGTCACAATGCACTAAGATTTTTGCATCTACAGCCTATTTTGCCTTACTGGCTCTGAAACACATGTATTTGCAAAGGAAGGGAGTGTGTTAACTGACAAGGAATTCTGTCCTGTGTGTTCATTTGTTACTTTTTTATTTTTTAATTGTTAACTTCACCTACTTTTTGATGTCTGCCATTGGAACAATCACTCCAGGAGTCCTGTTTGAATTATCAGATCCTCACCATGCTGCCTGCTCATTCCTGAGCTGCTGCTTCGCTGACAACAGTTTTGGCAGAGTCAGAGAATCACTTTAATAAATAAAAAAAAAAAAAAAAAATTGATTGTATTTTTATTGACTGTGTTACAGCGGCGAGTGGAGCAGCCGCTGTATGGGGTAGACGGCAGCACAGCAAAGGAACCACAGGAGGAACACTCTGCTCTGCCAACGCTGATGTCGGTGATGCTCGCGAAACAGCGGCTAGAGAATGAGCAGCTGGCACAGAGGGGAGGTGGCCTCTGTTTTACTTTTGTCTCGGTGAGCAGCTCTGAAAAGATTTGAATCCCAAGGGATGTTTCTAGTTAAGGGATGGGGAATTTGAAGCTTTTCTGCTCAAAGAGAGTGGTTAAGTGCAGCCTGGTTTATTGATGACCAAGTCTACCATCTTCTGGTAAGTTCATCTTCCTTGTGAAGAGTTCTAGGTCCCAGGCTTTGCTTGTTTAATAAAATGACTTAAGTTTTAAGTTAACGACTCGAAATCTTATGTAGATCAAAATAATAGCATCTGAGAGACTAATCGGATAAATGCAAAAAAAGCAAAAGAATGAAGTATAGTCTTGCTGTGAGAAGTGTTTGTTTTGGCCTCGCTTAATCTCAGCTGACATGAATTATATTAGGCTTCTAAAAGCTTTGTCTTTTAACAGGTTGGGCCAGACTTCTTGAAAGAAACTGACTCTCTTGTATTAATGAACCAAATCTCTAAAGCATTCTTAAACCTTAACATGAAATTATGGTACTCAGGCCAGGCTGCACCTCCCATGTCAAGATCAGTGTATCTGCATGGGCACTAGTGATCATGCTGAGGAGCATATAACAATACACTAACTTTCTTTTGCAGGCCCAGCAAGGCAGCCCATCTTCTACCGGATCAGGGAACACTGAGCATTCCTAAAAACAGATTTCCATCCAGCACAAACAGTCACAGGTATAGCTCACTAGATGATACATCTCTTGGATATGAGATTGAAGCTTGATGCAGCTTGTCTTCCACACCAGAGGATGCTGCTTGTAGTAGACGTAATGATTCCAGTGAAAAGAGCCAATAGTCCCAACTCAGTCTGTAACTACTGATTGAAGTGAATCACTCTGAGCTTTGTTCCTTATCCTGTGAAGGATGCCTTTCAGTTGCTGCTAATGTGTTTCAGTTTGTCTAATCTGTTACTGAGGCTTTTCTGTGTCAATACTGTGGGCAGTTCTTCAGCTGTGTGCAGATGTGCTCAGGAGAGGAACACCTTTGTTCTGTTTCAGTTCTGTTTTATCCTGAATATTCTTCCTCTCTTTCTATGTGAAGACACAAAGGGAACCCGAGTGGTAATTGTGAATGCCTCTAGTCCAGCTCTGAGTCGTGGGTGTGTCCACACTGCTTACAGTACAAATATCCACAGTGTAGCTGGAACTTCTTTGGCCTCTGCAGAGTAAACCCATGGCATAGTTTGTCTTGTCAAGGTGGCATGTGATCTGTTCCTGACAGTGCTTCTCAGCAGCTTCACTGACCTGGAGTCAAGAAGAGGAGTAGCTCTTTTGACTGTGCTGCTGTCTTTTTGGTGCCTTTTAAACTGTTAAGATTCTTCTTGTGGCTTTATGGCAAGATTTACTTTTGGCTGTGTCATCTTCCTCTGTTGCTTATAGAGATGTTCAGCTTTATCTGCAATTCACCTTGCTTATTTCTTCTTCAAACCTGCTTTTAATCTTTTTTTTTTAATTTCCATTTCTGATTTCTTTGTGACTGACCCTCCTCTTGAGTGATTTTTAAACAATCAGTTTTCTGTCAATCATTTTCTCACATCAGTCTGTGTCAGAGATGATTTTATTGCTGGGGGAAGTTCATTCTCCATTTCCCCAGCAGGTGGTACAAGTTCTTAGTGCATGAAGAACAGCAGTTCTACCTCTGAGGATGCTTAACTAGCTTAAGTCTCTGAGCTCTGTTGTGTCACTAGGGTCATATTTGTTGTCTGTATTGCTAAAATGCTGGTCTGTGAAGATCTCTGTTTCTTGGTAGTGCATGGAGAATTCTTGTGCAAGAATGATGCCATAACTCAACAACCTACCAGAGATAACTTTCAGATTTCAATCTTTGCTATCCCAATACCAATGCTTAAAATAGTGGTCCCTCCTGGGGTGAGCAAGATGTTTTCTCTCCTGTGCTTAGCATGCCCACAGATTCCATCTTCCTTGAAAAGGGTGACACGTTATCTGAGTGTGCCAATGCTCAGCTTCATGGTATTGTCCAGAGGTCTACATGTAGCATACACTTAAGACAAAGAATCCAGGAAGATGCTTGACTACATGATGAGGACATGTGTACATTCTTGGTTTTCCCTTCCCCTTTGTTACAACCCTGATAGGGTAAAAAAAAAAAACCCAAAACAGACCCTCTTCAGTGACTTCCATTTTGAATCACTTGTCGCAATGCCAAAAGCAAGTCAGTATGATTTTCTTAGCATTTTCAGTCAGTGCTAGGGCACTGCAAGCGCTCTGAGGCAAGGTGAGTTGTGATGAAGTCACAGGTAAGAGTGTGCATCCTGAAATGTTGCTTCATCTGACACAATGCAAGCATGTCTGTGCTTTTGGCAAAATGACATAACAGTCATTTACTGGAGAAACTCTCTGCTGCTTGACTGAGTGAGTGCAGCCTAGGCTTTCAACAGACAGCCTTCTCCTTGCCTTCAGTGACAAAAGCTTTTGTCACATGTGCTTCCTGCAGGCTGTCAGGAAGAATAAACCAAGTTAAGGCAGCAGTGGGGTGACTTGTCCAGGCCTCCTCTTTGTCTTTTGGGATTTAGGCTCCTCTTGCTTGATGTGCAATGCTGGCACGTGTTGTTTTTGCTCTTTCACATACTGGGCATATGTAGAGAAGCAACAGTCCTCCAAGTTTATCTTTTACTTCATGGTGTTAGCATCCAGGCAAGCCTGAAATTTATGACAACTCCACAGGTAAGTCTCTGCTAACTCTTCTCAGAACCAGGATAGTGGCTTGTTAGCCATAAATGTGAAATCTGCATGTGCAGTCATGGAGCGAGATTCCCTTGTGTTGACTTGGGTTTGGTTTTTTTTTTCGATACTGTGTTCACATACATACGGACTTCTTCCCCTTTTCTTCCTCACCCATTATTCAGAGTACTGAGTTTGAAATATGCTCTATTCTCTAGCAGTAAGAATGTCTTTTGTCTTCTGTTCCTGGATATAACTCTCACTTCATTGGTGAAGATATTTGAGATGTGCTGCACCCCATAAAACTTTCCAAATAGATTTCACTGATGAACTGTAAAGCACCTCTCCCTAGTGGGCACTAATACATCAGTTTGTCAGAAGCAAAGACTTGTGCCTAAAAAAAAAAGCTGTCAATCTGGTATAATATCTTAAAATGAAGACCTGTGTTTTCTGTCAAGACCACCTTAGAGCCCACAGGTACCGTCTTTTGTCTAGCAGGTGGTTGTCTCTGCCCATGAAAGATCTCCTAAATTTGGTATTCCAGCTGAGGGATTGTATTTGGTGTTTGTTTTTTTTTTTTTTTCTTAAGCCTTTTTCCTGTACGAGCTATGTTCCACTGCAGGAATAGACAGTGAATGTCAGAGACCACCAAGGAGTGGGCAGAACTCAACTATAAAACCCCAATTTGCAGGACACGGAAGATGTTGTAGCCTGTTAAATGTTACTAGTTTGTGTTCTCCAGAGCAGCTTTGTGCTATCTGACTGAACCTCCTGTGCTGGAGGAGCCCACCATGCAATAACAAAATGAAGAATGAAGAAAGTTCTTCCCCAGACTGCTAGGATGCAGGAGATCAATTCCTTCTTAGACCAAACTGTTCAGATCAGAGGAGGTTACGCTGTGATGTTACGTGCTGACTCTCTGAAATATCATCTGTTTTTCTTAAATGTGGTTTATGTGATTTTTCCCTTACAGTCTGACCTCACAATGGAAAAAATATCTGCACTAGAAAACAGTAAGAACTCCGACTTGGAGAAGAAAGAGGGGAGGATAGATGACTTATTAAGAGTAAGTATATAAAGTGGGACGACTCTTCTAAAAGCTGCTATTTAAAGTAACCTAGAGTACATATGCCATTTAGCAGAGCAGGATTTTATATACCATTTGTAGAACCAGCACTCACAAGGTAAAACAAATCCAGTCATCCCTTACTTGCAAGATAATTGTCTGGCTTGTAGATACTCTGTTTGAGCCTGCTTGAATCTGCAAGTGGAGTATCAGTGACTATGGCTATACAGTGCACAGTTGTTGTAGCTCAGTTGTGTGTGTCCTCAGCAGTGTGGTTGGCCTTTCTTTGATCTGTTGGACACTTTCTGTATTTTGTGAGCTAACCTAACATGTTTCTCTTCAGAATTATTCCCCTCTTCTAAATACTGAGGAGCTGAGACTGCTTTTTGTTGAGTAACATGTTCAGTAGCCTCTCAGTAGACTGGGAGGGTATATTCTGAAATACTCATTCATACAAGTCAGTGACACGTATAGAAATGAGCAAAACATCTTTTGGTCACACCTAAAGAATAAAGCTTCTCTTAACCCGTTAGTACTCTTCAGTAAAAGATAAATACCTTTAAATCAAGGATCTTGTCTTAATGGAGGAGCTCTAATTGATTTAGCTTTCATCAAGTGGAGGGGTATCTCATGTGAAGTATTGAAAAGGATTAGAAAACACATTGAAGGGAGTAGAGGGAAGGCTCTGTGTTTGAGTATGTCCAGTCTCAGCACCTAAAAGAGGTAAGACAAGCTTTTGGAGACATACAGAGGCACATGTAGGTTTGTGGAAAACAATCCATGGAGCATTTAATCAGAAGCCAGATTATTGGTTGGAAGAAGGATGGATAAATTTAACTTTTTATCAATTAAAATGGTTGCACATCAAATCCTGCTGTCCAGTGTGGTGGTGTTAAAAGCAGCAACTGTTCCTGGGGGCAGTCTGCATAGCGGGGCTGATGGATAGTAACTCGAACAAGAATTTAATGGAAAGTGCAAAGGGAGTTACCCCATCCTTTTCCTCTGCCAGTATTGTGGCTAAAGAGGGAGGATAGTCCAAGGATGACTAAGCTATTTTGAGACTTGGTAGCTGTGGCAAGGTCTGAAATGTTTAAAAAAATAAAAATTAAAAAATTCCTTGTGCATGTGTTCAGTCTCTTTGTACCTTAGTTCCTTATATGTAAACGAGGGTGATAGCACTTGCCTGTTCTAGAAGAGTATTAAGATTTGAGTGGGTTGAAAATGGAAGAGCTTGGCTTGGATGTTTTGATAAGAGGAACTTAGTCTTTTTTTTTTTTTCCCTTATCCTGCTGGTTTGCTTTCTTTAATTTGATGCCTAGAGTGAGCTGGAGAAACTTCTTCCTAGGTGATGCTTAGTTTGGTTCTTAGTGATTTAAAGGCTTTTCTTCTCTTTTTACTTTTAGGCCAACTGTGATTTGAGACGACAGATAGATGAACAGCAAAAGATGCTGGAGAAGTACAAGGAGCGGTTGAATAGATGTGTAACAATGAGCAAGAAGCTTCTTATAGAAAAGGTGAGCAGGGGACTTTCCACATCTCTGCAGTTACAGTTCATGTCTATCTTCTCAGCAGTGAAAACCTTTTCCTATTGCTATAGTGACAAAAGACAACCAGAATTCTCTCTTAAATTATTTCTCTGCAAACACAGATGTAATGTGAAGACTGAAATGGTTCAGAATTTTTTGGTTTGGCTACTTCTCACAGTCTCAAAGAGTGATCTCCCTTGCTTAAGTGAAAAAGTCTGAGCTCTAAATGGCAGCAGGCATTGCTTGGTTTGGAAACCTTGTACACCTGAAAGGCAACGTTTTCCAGCTCTGGCAACACAAGAGCAGTATCCCATTGTGCAGTGAAATTGCCAGATATGCCCTGCGACACGGGCAAGTGATTTAGACCTTTCCATCTTTCACATGGCAAAGTTGGAGATCATTGCTTTGTGTAACACTCAAACCAACACATTAAAGACAATGGAGAAAGCACCAGGCTGCTGTTTACCAGCATCCAGCCTTCTTCAGTGTTGAAAGATTTCCAGATTCCCTGATGGATAAACAATGTGGGAGTTTGATTGCTCTTTCACCTGTTGGCCAATTATGTCTATTGTTTGTGGGCACTGGATGGGCAAAACTGCCAGGGTGCTGGCCAGTACATGCCGTCTGTTTGAGCTGATTTTGTCACAGAGCTGATTGTTCTTGCCTGAATGGGACTCCCCTTTCTGGGAGGATTTGTAACTCTTGGCCAGGTATCACGCAGACCTGGCATTCAAGTAGGTGGTGTATAGCTCCAGTGAGGACCTTTGCTGGTTCATCTTTAATCCTAACTGACTGAAACTTTGCTGCTCTCATCTCAGGCCTTGGAAATTTCCTCTCACTTTTACCAGAAACACTCTGGGACAGACACCACCACCAGTTTTTAGGCATGTTGGTGACGTAACTGAGATTGTGTCGCTTCTACAAGTGGTGCTATTCTCGGACTGAGCTGGCTGATCACTGAATCTTAGTCTTAACAGTGATTTAAGGTGCATTTTCTTCCTTCATCTCCTGTTTGGGTGAATAAAGGCCTGATCAGAGCCACATCTGGAGTCTAGCTCAGCTACTGATACAAAGGGATAGTTTTAATCCTACTGCTAGACCGATTTCAACTCACGTCAGAATGGGTGAGCTGCCCAGGCAGTAATGAGGAAGGAAAGATGAGGCTGAAATGTCAGAAAGGAGGCAAACAAATGCCTGTCAGGCCAGTGCGAAGCACAGCAATAATTTGATCAATGATTTTCTGCTGGGGGTTTCAGATAAGCAATACTGAAACAATGAAAAGTGGTAAGACTTAGAAGTGATTTAAAAACACAGCACAGCTCTTAGCTGCTAATTTATGGCGTATATTTTAACATGTTTTATTTTGTTTTCAGTCAAAACAGGAGAAGATGGCATGCAGAGATAAGAGCATGCAGGATCGATTGAGGCTAGGTCACTTCACTACGGTGCGGCACGGGGCGTCTTTCACCGAGCAGTGGACAGATGGCTATGCCTTCCAGAACCTCATCAAGTGAGGACAAACAGAATTGTCTTTAACTTCACAGGGAAAGACAGACAAACGAAGCAGTTGTGTGTGATGTCTTGCATGTCAAAAAGTGAGAATGGTGTGACTGATGCATGAAAGGATCAGATAGGAACTCAGCTGCTGACAATGTTTTCACACTGAAGTGAGAAATATGTTTCCACTTAAACCTCCAGAGACTTGAAACTGGAATCAAATTGTTTGAGTTGGCTTCTGGGTTGGAAAGCATTAGACTGCCCTGTTAGGTATTCTCAGTGCACCTACCTGGTTGTGTCGTGCTTAGGGTGGAGAGATGGACCAAATTCTCACATGTATCTTGAGTCAATCAATTTGATTTGCATACTTGTATATATTAATCAAGGAAAGCTAATTAGCTCCCTCCCCCCCTTTTTAAAGTAGAAAGTAGAGAAGCTTAGAAGAGAAAATCCATACTATTTAACTTTTTTTGCCTCCTGGTAACAGTGATCAAAAGGGCTGCAGAAACCTGGAAATGAAGATCAGAGACCCTTTTATGCAAGATGTTAATGGAAATATCCAGTAAATTCCCACCTGGCCTAGACCTTGTCAAATTGATTGCATTAGAGAGAACTGTATATGATCATTTGAAGTCATATCACTTCTCTGGAGTCTGATGGGGAGGTGCAGCTCTTGTTAGGTGCAGATTAAGGCCTTTTCTTCCTTAGTATGTGCTATAAAACATCGAAGAAATACTTCTGGATTATTTACCTGCAGTCTCAGTCTCTTAAAAACTGAATGATGTACATACTCAAGTCATTTAGACTTGAAATTTCAAGAGTGTGCTTTTTATCACTGTGAAATGTTTAAGATAGTCTTTTTTATCTTGGAGGAGAGACTGTTTTCTTAATGCAGTTGGGAATGGTGTTGGTTATATTTCAGGAAACTAAGGATAGTTTAACTGTACCTTTGAAGTATAAGGGTACTTTCTCAGACAGTGCCAGACTTCAGGAATAGTTTTAACAGGAAGGTCTGAGATTTAGAACAGAGCCTTCTAGGAAAAAGTGTGTGGAAAGTTAGTGACTTACCATGGATCCCTGGGTTTTCCGTGAGGTTAGCAACTCTGTTTTGGATATCCTCTGTATGAATAAAACCTTTCACTTAAAGGTTTCTGTGGGCCAGGAAAAGAATCCCCTTTTATGTAAAAATACCTTTAAGAAATCTGACTCATAATGTTTGGCATATCCCCCTTTTCTGTACAAAAATATTTTCTTAGTAATCTTACAAGTACAACCGATTTGAAATTCATCACTCCAATCTGTTAAGAACAGATGCTGAAGACAATCAAGTACATACCGTTAGTTATCTGCTTCATGTTTTTTTCTACTCTCTTCTTTCCAGGCAACAGGAAAGGATAAATTCCCAGCGGGAAGAAATAGAAAGACAACGAAAAATGTTAGCAAAACGGAAGCCCCCTGCAATGGGACAGACCCCTCCAGCAAGCAATGAGCAGAAGCAGCGCAAGAACAAGACCAATGGAGCAGAAAATGAAACGTAGGTTACGTGGCCTTCTTGGTGCACTGCAAAGCTGCGTGCTTTGATTAGAGCACAAAATATCTACTAGGAAATGGAATCCTGCCCTTGCCTCTAGGCTTCACTCCATGCACAAATGAATATTGTGGAATTAGCCTGGCATTCAGTAACATCTGGCTGCAGTTCTAAATAGTTTTCATTGGAGTAAAACAGGGATCATTGCTGAGTCCAGACTTTGTATGAGCTTAACTTTTTTGAATGCAGTAACTTTTTCAGCATTCTTGTTGCATCAGGTATGAAAAGTGATGTCTTTTTCTTAAAGTTTTCTTCTGCAACTTCAGAATTGATTTTGGTATTACTGTGATACACAGTGGGGGTTTTTTTTTAAGGAAAAAGAATTTTTAGAATTAGAAGCCTTTATTTCTATGTACTTTCTGGGGAGGCTTTTCAAACAATTAATTTGCTATACTGAAGAAAAAAGATGCTCTCTGGAAAGACAGTGCGTTAAGCATTGACCTGTAACTCCAAAGCAGTCCTTTGCAGATACCTGAGTCAGGGAAATGGGAAGGTAGTTGAAGTGCTACTCCTTCTTCTTACAGAAGATTTTTTTTTTCCCCTGCCTCTTTTGAAGGTACTGATCTAAGAGTCTCAGTGTTCTTAGAGCAGAAAGCTGTGTCTCACAAGAAATTTGGAACAATATTTTTTGGAAGTTTTTGTGAGTTTGAAATAAGTCAGAGACTTTCCCCTACCTTCTACCAGTTTCCTGTACAGTTTTCCTTTCATCGCTTTTGGCTAATACTGTAACTCTCAATGACACTTTTCTTTTTACACTATTAAATCTCCTGGGCGTGACTTGAACTCGAAGTTCCTGGAGCCCTTTGAATTCTTAGTCTTGATCTTTAAAAGTGCATGTGAAGCAAAAGCTCTTGCTGCCTTTTGCAGTCACAGCAGAGATGGCACAGGACTGGGTGCATCATGATATTCAGGGTGCTCTTAGCAACCAGGGTAGTGCCCCCAAATACGATGCTGGTGTGTGTTGCTCAGGTGTATTGTATTGGAGGGCACTGTGTGCTTTCTGCACAAATTGAGGCATTTACCCCTTGTTCTGGCCAAGTGAGCTTAAAAACAGCTAAATAAAGTTTTAAAGCCGTCCTTTTGCATTGCAGCATTTGAGTTTGGAAAAGTAAATATCCATTCACTGTGGTAACCTTTCACATCTAAGGGACAGGATGATGCTTTCCCTATTTCTGTAGGATGTTTTTTCCCCAGCAGACTGGTACAGCTGTAATGTGGTTTATTCTGCAGACATGGCAGCACAGGTCTTGATGTACCTGGAAATCATGATAATGTCTGCGATACCTAGTGAATTTCTGCCGATGTTGTGAGCCTGCCTTGATGTAATCTAGCTTTACCTGGGTTTGTTAGTAAGCCTTTTTGTGTTACCAGGTCTCTTTCTCTGTGTTTCTTGCTGGTTTATAATTCTTCACTGATATATTTCAGGGTTTTATCTTTGTGGTTTAGAAGAGCTTCTTGTGGTGTTCCTGATAAAAACTGCTTGCAAGTGTATGAATGTGGTTCACATGGAGCGTTCCAGCTTATGAAAACATTGGTTTTTGCAAGTCAGCTGAAGCAACTGTACTGTCTGACTACTTGCTTAATCATTAGTTATCCTGTAATAATGCATTTGTTGAATGTTGTATGTCAGGTACAAAATTTTCTGATTTTTGGAGGGAGGTTGGTTTTTTTTCTTGTGGAATTGTTACATTCGACTTTTAGGCAAGTCGAATGTAAGTGTTTTTGAACGTTGAATGAAAAGCAGACAGCCAAATGTCTTAATTTGATTTTTGGTTCCTCTTTGGCTTGTGGTTTTTGCTGTGTCTTAAAAAGGAGAGAAAGGTCACATGATGCAAATTTAAACATGTGCTCTCCTGAAACTAGTTTCTAACCTGTGAATGAGAAAAAGGTTTTCATTTAGGAAGATTAATCTGCTGGAGCTTTTTGAGCTTTGTTAGAGCAGCTTGAGCAGCTAGAGCTAGAGGTTTGCTAGAGCGACACCTTAGAGTCTTCAGCTGCACTAGAAGTGATGTATTTCAAGCATTTTTCTGTGAAACAGGGCAGCGTTTATCTTAAAGCCCCTTTGATTTTTGTAATGCTTGCTGCTAACAGGCAGCTATTTTGGGCAGCATTAGCCTGGTGGTACTCATTACATCTCTTGTTTAATGAGTAGGCTTGATGTTTAGCCCCGTATTTCATTTGTGCACAAGAATATGTGGAAAGCTTGTTGCTGGTTTATTCAATTGTCTTTTTATTCCTTATACAGCAACACCAATCAAAGACCTGAACTTTTGGGATGCTCTTTTAGATTAGCTGAATCTGATTAAAATTTAGGCTGTCACTGGGCAGGGTGGGGGTGTGTGAATTAGGATACTTTTATATGAAATGAGCTCACATGTAAACATTTATGGTACTGGCTGTGGTTTGTATGTATCTTTAATTTGTAATAAGCAGTTCCTTCTGGTCGAGATTCTTTAAAATGGAATTTGGCTTGTGAGTTTTGCCTTAAATTTATCAGCTAACAGCTGCTCTAGCACTTATTTCAGCTATGTGGACCCTCTGCTTTATCAACAGCGGAGAGAAGTTGGAGCCTTTCAAGATGAGCACTTAATCAGCTGAATACTGCCTCCTCTTAATTTACTGTACAGTGAGCCAAGGTCCCACAGCCTTGCAGACATACAACTCAGTCCCCTCTTCAAATGAGTTGTGGTGTTGATGCTGCGGAGACCTCATACACTAACTTTTGTACCCAGTGCTATGCAACAGGAATCCTCCTAGGATACGCTTTGAACTCAATTTAGGTTCAAAAAAGATATTTGTATACTGTTATGTGTGTATCTCATTTACAAAGGAAACTGAGGCAGTGGATATGGGCTTCATAATTTATGTTCACATGTGATGCCTTTACCAAACTCCTTGTTGGTAGTTATAAGGAAATTAGTGTAATGATTCATTTTGCTAACCTTAAAGATCTCAACACATCGTTACCTTTCACTAGTGATGGGATCTGTCATTATTTTACCGTAAGGCTGTGCTTTGCCTCTGTCCTACGTGACACACTTGGTCTATAAAAGACATTGAAAACAGGATAAAGCTGCTTTTCGACCAGCCACCTAGGATAGAAACTTTGCACATCACTTATCATCTATAAAATGGGGATTATTCCCCTTATCCCATTAGTTCTCCTGACTGCACATAAGGTCAAAGATATGGTAAGGTGAAGTAAATTCCCCAAGGTTCCCCTGGAAGCTGCTTCTCAGAGCCTGAAACAGGAGAAAGTTCTGAATCCCTGGTTATTGCTCTGTTTGCAGTGGCTCTGTGTCCCGGTGTACTGCTAGTCCCAGAATGAATAGTTGTGTTGAATTATCCAGCTTTTATTACAAGGAAAAATATGAAAATGCATCAATAAAGCAAACTTGAATTGGAAAAATAAAATATAGAATACTTACACTTCTGTGTTCCGTATTTAGATTATGATTTAGCTTGCTTAGTTAAAAACTCACTGGCTTAAATAGGTGTTATTAGGGACTTAGATTTGAAATGAATATGTGTTTTATCAAGGTTTGAACTTTTGGTCTCCTTTAGTTTGATTTAAAAGAAAAAAAAATAGGTTGCAGAGTTCACCTAAAAACTTCTAGTGGCTGTTGACATACTCGGTGTAGTTCTCACTTCCACTGGAGATGTGTGTTCTGCAGACAGTTCACTTTATCATGTGCATTGAAATTGAATGTGTTGTATTTGTCTCTCATCTGCAGGTTAACATTAGCAGAATACCACGAACAGGAAGAAATCTTCAAACTCCGACTAGGTCATCTTAAAAAGGTGAGAACAAACTGCAGAAAAGGTTTTTAGGTAGGTTTTTGATTCAGTGTTCTGTGAACAATAGCACTTCTCTGTAGAGGTCACTACTGTTTGTTCAATAATTGGGAGGGTTTTGTTGCTTGAAAAGGATGGTCAGGATTTTGTAATAATTTTTTCTGAGGCAGTGGTATTCAGGAAAGATGTTCTTTGCTTCAGTAAATAGATTCATACATCCTTACAGTTATGATTTCCCTATTCGGATGCATCTTATTCTGTCACTGTGACCTGCCTAGTGCTGGGCTCTGTATGTGTCTGATACAAGGGAACATGAAGGAACAGACCAAGGGAAGAAAATTATAAGAACACAACAAAAACTGCAACTCTCATTGACTTTCCCATTTCTTTGCAATATTAAGTAACCAGCATTATCAGTAATAGTCCAATAAAATCTCTTGGGCTCTTGGAAACTAGTACTGTTTAGGTAATTGTAATGCACATTTGTTTTCAAATACACTGGCTTCAGTAGGAACTGTACCTGCAAGTGAGGTTATATTTAGATAAGCTGTTGGTTACCTTTTAAAGTGATTGCAATAACCTATAAATAAGTTTTCTGGGACACTGCAACAGATGAAGTACTGAAAAAAAAAATAAAAATAGATGTCTTCTGCTATTTCCTGGTTAGCTGTGATCTCTGCTAAGGCCAAAGAGTTTTCTTTCCCGTATGAGACAAAGAGGAAGCGTGCAAATGCATTGCTGGAGTCTTCCTATTTTCTCAGGTGGTGCCTGAGCTCTACACTTTTTTCTTT